CAAGCCGAGGACTCCCTTATATGAGCTTGATATAGGTAGTTCAAATGTGTGGTTACATGGTACCTTACGGTAATAAGGCAAAGTACGGAGCACATCAATGTAACGGCTACGGGACCCTTCACATGCATCTCAGACAGTTGAAGCTTGAGATGCACGCTCTAGGGAGCTAGTTGCAGCGGCAGACGCGCATGTATGGAGTCGGTCAATGGTTGGTAAGGTACTTTACCTGTCCGGGTACCTTGTAGTTTTGCAGCTGCACGGTGATGTGATGGCGGCAAACAAACTAAATGATTTGCAAGAGAGAAATAAACGAAGACAAAAGGGACGGTACTAATAAGCCAGAGGACAAGATGGATGGCTGCTATGGAGAGAGAGAGAGAGACTGGAGTCCTGGACAGACCCGGCCGGAAGGGGCCCGGGCGTTGACAAGGGGGAGAGCAGGAACAGCAAGGGGGATTTGGCCTAAAAGGGTCCAGTGGCTGCTTTTCCTTTTTTTTCATGAGTGAAAAACCCGATTGTAATCAAGGTGGGAAATCAAAGAAGATTCTACGGACGAACACCCGTGAGATTGGAAGAGGTAGTAGAAGTTGGAATCAGCTTGGACCAAATAAGAAGATGCGAGGCGCTAGATGTACATGTACTGTACTTGCGTGTGGTCTTGAGTCGCGATGCGAATCCGCCGATGCCCTGATGCAAACAGCAATGGACAAACATCCATGGCCAGCCCTGGAGGTCGATTCCAAGTACCTACTCGTCTCGATGCTCCATTGCCCACGTCAAAGCCAAATTTTACCTTGGGCACAAGCACTGGCTCGAGCACTGATGTGGCCCTTTTTACGCGCTCTCTCGAGGGAAAAGCAGGATGGGGCCGTGATAGGGAACCGGATGTGCGCTAAAGCCAGAACCCCATGCTTCAACTTCAATTCGTACCGGAGAAAGGAGTATCGGGTACCGCGCATTGTGTGGAGTGCATGTACCTGCTTACCGCTTGCTTCGGTTGTTTGGTTCCCTTTTTTTTTTTTTCCTTTTCATCTTCTCTGCTTCAAAGAATCTGTTATTTATCGTGACGTCGACGCTGGGCTTCCGCTCTTCTTTGTTGCATTGTATGCTGTATCGTTCATTGATCGGAGGTTGCAGGTACTCACACGATCCATCATCAACCTCATCCCCCCTTTGGTTTGCTGCTCAACCAGGGGGATCCGGCAAGCCACTCGAGCCGCTGAAGCAGCCGAACCGCGCCGTTTGTTCCCACTTTGCAGGAGCACGGAGCACCCCTGCAGTCCAAACCACCAGCAACCAGACATGAACACACACTGCAGTTGGTGAGGTCGGGTCCCTGGAGGCACAAGAACCTGGACGTCCACTGGCAGGTATTGGGTACCCTCCCGCAAGTACCTCATACTATCAGACCTTCCACCAAGCAGTGCTCGCAGTGAGTTGAATCGCGCTGGTCCTGGACTGCTAGCCACACACAGAAAGAGCAGCGCCCACCCCCCCAAAGTCCAGAAAAAGGGCCCTGAACTAACTGGGACCTCAACTAGAGCACCACCCCCCGATCGCCCAATCCGTGCCCGCCAATCCCTCCCGGCCTCTCCACAACTGGCCAGCCTCCACCTCCCTGCCAATGTGCCAACGACATGGAAGCCCGCCCACGCACAGGTACCGGTACACGTACCTGCAACCTGCGCCGGTGCTAGGCAGGCAGGCAGGCAGCTGCTAGGGGAACCATTGCAAGGCCCTGCAGGCGTCGCTAGGGCACACCGACCAGTGCTGGGGCCCCTGGCTCGCCCTCCCCCCAGCGCCGCCGCCAGCCAATCTCTCAGTTGAGGGCCGTCCAGCCTGCCGTTTAACCCCAAATTGTCAAAGGTACCGAGTTTTGTACCTGTACCCGTACCCGTACCTGTACCTGTACCTGCGCGGTTCCTCCTCACCTAAACCACTCCCCAGCCCAAGGCTTGTCGTGTCTTGTCCTGTCCAGTCCTGTCCTGCTCTCTCCTTCACCCTTTCCATTGCCTTTTCCCCTTCCGCTGCCTTTTCCCGTATTCCACCCCTCTCCGTCTTCCATCCAATCTCTCCGTCCTCCATCTTCCTCTCCCTCATTCATTCCTCTGCCAATCCGCCCGCCTCGGCTTCTTTCTTCCTCTCTTTGCATTTTGCATTGTCTTCTGGCCAGCTCTGATTTTTCCATTTTCCGTTTCCTCCTCTGACCGACTACGATCCTCTCGCAGAACCGTCGTCTATCCTCCTCTCCCTTCAAAGAGCCCGGCGTTCCTTGTCCTTCATTGGCTGAGGCGCACCTCCTGAGGCCAAGCAAGAGAAAAAAAATATTTCACGAGCTGCGGAAGCAATCCTTCACCCGCTAGCAATCCTCATCCAGTTCTCCTTCACAATGGCTACGGCAGCAACCAAGGTATGTTGGCGACTTTCTTTTTGCTTGTCTTGCGCGCGCGGTTTTCGCTTGCCAACCTCGTCTCTTCCCCCTTCTCTTGCTCCCTTGCTTTAGCCTCTTCGGTATAGCTAACGTTAGCTCCCAGTTCCTGCGAGAGTACAAGCTCGTCGTTGTCGGCGGCGGTGGTGTCGGTAAATCTTGCTTGACCATCCAATTGATCCAGAGCCATTTCGTCGACGAGTATGATCCCACAATTGAAGGTTCGTCGCCCTTGCCCCCTTTTCTCCCCATGCCTTGCGACTCGCGGATCTGAATCATCCACTCTTCGCTACCTCGTCCGCAACTCCCTCGACTGCCCGGGATTGTTGGCTAATTCGTCGACAATGTAAACAGACTCATACCGAAAGCAATGCGTCATTGACGATGAGGTCGCCCTGCTCGATGTCCTCGACACCGCTGGTCAGGAGGAGTACAGTGCCATGCGAGAGCAGTACATGCGGACAGGAGAGGGTTTCTTGCTGGTCTACTCCATCACATCACGACAGAGCTTTGAGGAAATCACGACCTTCCAGCAGCAGATCCTGAGAGTCAAGGACAAGGACTACTTCCCCATGGTGGTCGTTGGCAACAAGTGCGATTTGGAAGGCGAGCGAGAGGTCACCAGGCAAGGTAAGCATTCATGATCCGTCACTAGATACACCACCTTGTAGTTGGCTGGATAGGTAGCTAACGTTTCCACAGAGGGAGAGGCGCTGGCGCGATCATTCAACTGCAAGTTCATCGAGACGTCCGCCAAGTCCCGAATCAATGTCGACAAGGCCTTCTACGACATTGTTCGCGAGATCCGAAGATACAACCGCGAGATGCAGGGTTACTCAACCGGCAGCGGCACCAACTCTGGCGCCAACCCGCCCAAGCCCATGGACATTGAGGGCGAGGAGGCAGAGGGTGGCTGCTGCAAGTGCGTCATCATGTGAAGAGTCTTTGCTTTGCAAACCAGAGATGGGAGGCTGCATTGTCTTGTTATTCATGATGGCTTAGAGGCGACATTCATGGTGGAAACGAGAGGCTTTTGGACGCTCGATTTAAAACACAACGCGCGACGAACGGGTCTTGAACGATCGACGAGCAACAATACCTCTCAATGCATCGGACGGGGAGTCGGGTTCTGACTTGGGTCGCGCATTCGGATTTTCTTTTTCTGCTCCCTTTCTTTTATTTTCTTCATGTCTTGTTTCTATTTCGACGAAAATATTCTCCGCGCGTTGTTGCGAGATGAGACCGACGGGGGTAGCTGTGTCAAACGGCACACACAGCCTGGCGCCCCTGTCAAAGCGCGCGCGTGCGTGCGGTCCCGCAGCGTGCCGACCAAAAGGGGCCTGCTCGTTGCACCACCAGGAGGGGGGGAACAGAAAAAAGAATGGGCGAGGCGCTTTTGAATGAAAGGGCGAGGCGAGGGCGGGAGAGCATGATGACGAGGGTACTTGGACTCTGCGGCATGCGTGTGTGCGTGCAGACAAAAGGAAGGGCCTCGGGGAGGCCGCGGCCATTAATACTCCCTCGTTTGCGGTTGCGAGGATGGTTCTTCTCTTTGACTCTGAAACGACGGGTCATACGTTCTTCTCTTATATCCCATTATTTCACACGTGTAATTTCGTTTTCCTTCTTTCTACTTATTGACTGTTAACTTGCATGGTAATGAGGATTCGCTTCAAGATTTTGCCGTCCTTTTGTATCTAGGACAAACAATTCTACGGAGGCCGTTGGCTTCCACTTTGGTCTCTGTGCTGTTTCTCTTGACTCTTTTAATTGATTGGATACCTGTCATATCTCTCCTTCTTTCTTGTCCTGCCTTTTTGCTTTCCTTTCCTTGTACCTTTCTTCTTCCTTATCCGTTTCTCTTTTTCCTACTGACCTTTCATACCTTGTATATATCCCTCTTCTCCTGATAAAGACAACAATACAAGACAGACTTGATACTCCCGATCTGCGGGTTGCATTCCTGCAGCTACATCAGTGAATTAAGGTTTCACTGCTACGATTCACAGCCGACTAATTCATATGGAAGAACTTGTCTGATAATTTGGTCGGAGTTGCACTTGATCTGCGTTCGAGGATGCTCAGGTGTGTCACTTTGAAGTTGGTACGAAGAATCTATATTTGGGGTACAAGCTGTGAGCGGAGATTGGGCTTCTCCGTCCCGACGTCTCTCTCTGGGCTAATCCTCCTCTTCTTTTCCTCTCATCACATTGATTCAAGATTCGCACAGTCAACGAGCATCCTCTGGAATACCCAAAATCGAGCACTTCTTTTGTCATGAAATTGTTAAATTGCAATGCTCCAAAACGCCTATGCTGACAACTTACCTACCTACCTCTTTACCTCTAGCCGAAATCAGACCTCACCCATTCTTCGCTCACCAACTCCAGGACTCCGCCCGACAAGATGCCTCTTCTTCCTTTGCTCCTATCGTTATTGCATTCTTTCTTTGTTCTTACCTGCTTGCTCCATGGGGCTCAAAACAATTTGACTCTACGACGCTCCCGCACTGGACAGAAGAAACATGGCATTGATGCTGTTGCGGCTAGGGCGCGAGTGGTGACCTGCTCGCTCAGCCGACGGGATCATGATCTTCTGCTGGTGCTGCATCGCCTCGCATGTATGGCATGAGGAGCGTCATCATGGCGTAATCCAGACCCGGCGTGTTCAGCAAGCCTGTGTTGGGATCGGTGTTGGTGTGGACGCTGTGGTCGGCGCCGACTTGGATCTCGGGCCCAGCAACGGGATCAAGGACGGGATCGATATCGACATCGATAATCGCGTCTTCGTCAACCTGGAACGGGTCAAAGTTGGGTTCTCCCCTGTACAAGTCGGGATCAATGTCCGTATCCGCGCTGTCGTCAGCCTCGGGGGCTTGGATCGGGTTGAAGTCGGTGTACAGGTCGCCATCGAGGTTGAAGTCGATGTCGGCCATGCTGATGGCGTCAATGTCGTCTAAGTTGATGTCGTTCACGTCGATGTCGTCGATGTTGACGTCGTCAAAGTTGATGCCATTGACATCCATCCCGAGTTCAGGACCGGGGACTTGAAACGGGTTGAAGTCGGGGTTTACCGCAAAGGAGCCGAGATCTATATTGACGTCCATGCTGGGATCAACGACTGGAACTTCAACCTGACTCAAGTCAACATTTCCCGTGAAAAAGACTGAAGCTAGATTGGGGTCGATGTTAGAATCAGAAACGGGGACGTCGAAGCCATTGAAGTCGAGGTCGGACATCATCGAACGAAGCGCAGCGTCAAAGTTGAACTGCTCCTGGGCGGGCACATGCAAAAAGGGGTTCCCGATCGGAGGAGCTGCTGCTGCTGCTACACCTGCGCCGTCAGCGATGATGTTGTCTTGACTGATGTACCCCAAGAGCCAGTGGGAACTATCTCCGTCGACCTCGAGAGGTGGTGGAGCTGGAGGCAGAGGGCTCGCGATGGCAGAATGGGCGAGGGCAAGGGCGGCGGCGGTGTCAGCAGTTCTGATGCGGGCATGCTCTTGGTCATTGGAACCAGCTGTGTCGTCCATTGGAGTATCGCCATTGCCATCATCGCCATTGCCGTCATTATCGTCTCCGTGGTTATCGCCGTCGTTGTCGTCATCGTTGCCATCACCATTACTGTCGTCGTGGCCATCGTTGTCGCCGCTGTCTTCCTCTCCATTCCCTGACCTTAGCCTAGGGATTCTTTTCCCGGCTCCTCCGGCGCGCACAATCTGGACCTGCTGCTGTGCCTCGTCAACGTATCCCTGATATACATCAAACTGATTCATCGGACGGGCCTGGGGCCACTGGGCCTGAATCCATGCCACAATCTGCTGCTGAGTTATCTCACTCGCTCGCCCGGCTACAAGACCCCCCTGAGTCGCATCCCCGTGAGGCGGGACCCCAGGTGGATGGAGCTTGGCTTTCAAATGGGCGCCCAACGCCGTAAGGTATTCCTTCTTCTGCTTGTCGGGAAGCATGCAGTAGACGTTGGTAGTTGGACCTACCCAATGTTCGATGGCAGATCCGTCCTTGGGGTCGTCGACACCCTGCGCTCCATATCCCAAGGCCAGATAGTAAAGAGGCCCAGGAGGCGGGCTCAGCCGGCCATTGAAGCAATATCTGGCCGTGACGCCCTTGAACTCGTCACACTCATCGCCGTGCTTGACGCACGAGTCGCAGGGGCGCTGGAGATCGCAGTTTCTCCCGTGCTTTGTGCAGCACGAGCACTCGGGGAAGGGCATGAAGCCGCCGATGCCGACTCTGGCCAGGTCAAATAGGGGGTAGTGGGTGTCGTCCTTGCTGTCGATGCAGTCGATGCCCAGCTGGGCGCAGCGGTTGCAGGCAAAGTCATAGGCACCGGCATCGACCCGGCAGTGCTCGTGCCCGTCCTCCAGACAGCGCTTGCAGTTCCTGCGGTGCGGGTTGATGGCCCTGCACTCGATGAAGCCCCAGTCGAAGACTTGATGGTTGAGGGCCCATGTCTTTGGCAGCGTCAGCCTCGCGGGGCTGGCAATGATGTTGCCGCCGCTCATGCAAACCAAGTTGTGGGCTTGACAGTAGTCGCAGGCCTGGTCCCATGTGGTGCGGTCCCTGAGCCAGCTGCATCCCATGGTGCCCGTGCCCTTCTTGGTCTTGTTCTCGCAGACGTGGCACTCTGCCCGCGTCCAGCGGACGACGTTGGCCTGGGGCCGGGGCGGCTTCTCCATCGGCTGGCCGTTGACGGTGCAGGTGCCCTCCCTGCAGGCCTTTGTCGTGCTGCATCCGTATCCGAGGATGGGATCGACGTTGCACTGGTGGGCGAGCTTGCCGCCGAGGCACTGGTCGCACGTCGCCGGCGTGTACGTCGTCGGATCCGCGACGCCGTACTGGCGCCAGACCTTGTTGATGTTGGGGGGCTGGCACTTGTGCTGGACGCCCGGGTTCCGGGAGCGGTGGTCGGCGCAGTTGCGGCACTCGATGAAGTTTTCCTTCCAGATCTTGGTGTAGTCGCAGGGCCGCTCCTGGAACAGTTGCTTGCCGACGGGGTCGGCGCCGCAGAACTTGCAGCGGTTGGCGCCTCGCTTTCTCTTGGGCGGTGGGCTTTTGTCCTTGGGGTTGTTGTTGTCGTCCTTGTTGCCATCTCCGTCCTTGTCTCCATCGTCGTCGTCTTCGTCGTCGGCGACGGCGCGCTTCCGCTTTGAACGACGAAGTTTTGGGGGTGGTTGCTGTTGCTGTTGCTCCTGTTTCTTCTGACTGGCTGCTCTGCTGCGGGTTATGCGGCCTGTGTAGGGTGCTTCAGCACTGGGCTTGAGGGTTCGTGTGCCGGGGGCCATGATGGACAGTTCTCTTTCGAGAGTGTGATGTGATATGGCGTCGACGGTGAAAGATGAGCTGTCTACGGCATCACGATGTCTACGAGTCCTCGATTTGTGGGAGTAATCACTTGATATACAGTTTCCCCTGATTCCCTCCTTGAAACCCAATGCTTCTACACCCATCTTGCTGCATTTTCTGATATTGAACAAGTAGCTTTGGCTGTCTATATCGAGGGACATGTGAGCCCGGCCCATTGAGCAGTTCGCAAGAGAACAGTCGTTCAGGGGTAAAAAGCTGAGTTGTTCCGCCCACGTTGAACAAAGCAAAGCAACAAGGACGCAACGATGAGAAAGCTACGAGACAAAGACGAGTCCACACGGTTCTACCACAAAAGGTCAAATATAGCGCCTCAAATGCTGGTGTTCATTACGGTAAGTTGAAAACCAGTTGTTCACTTGGTTTGCATCTATAAAACCTGCCAGCAGAACTAGACCGGGGGCATACAAAGCCCAAGCGCACTTCTGAACATGGGCATTCCCCATCTCAACACAAAAAACTTCACACAAGGTCCTTCTTCATAAACACCAGCGGCACATCAACCTCCCTGCCCGTCTCCCGATCAAGCCACTTGTACATGCCCGTGACATAGCCAACGACGCCGTACCCCTGCCTCGCATACCAGTCCTCGTTGGAGCGGAACTGCTGCTCGGGGGCGACTTCTTCTTCTTCCCCGCCGCCGCCGCCGCGGAGCCTGCGGTAGATGGCCAGGCTCTCGGGGGTGTTTTGGAAGTCCCGCGTGAGGGTGTCGAGGGCCATTGTGGTGGCGCGGAGGGGAGGCAGGCGGGCGAGGTGTTCGAGCTGGTGCATTGCGGAGCGGCCGAAGCCGCCGGCTTGGATGGCCCTTTGTTTTTGAGCATGAGCAATGGAAATGTTATGGGATGTATGGTGATGATGAAAGATGAGTGAACATGAAGATGAGTGAAAGGTGAGAGAGAAAGGGGGGGGGGGGCTTACCAAGAGATGTAGAGAGACTTGATCCAGACCGTGCTCGCAGGCAGCGAAAACCGCTCGTTGCGGTCCGGGTACAAGTCCAGCGCGACGTGGCCGATGGGGACAAAGGACACTGAGGATGGCGTTCGGGGGGATTTGCCCTGGGCCTGTGCCGTGTCGACGATGGGTTCTTGTTCCTGTTGCGAATGGAAAGATGTCAGCTGGTTTATAGTGTTCATACACCAGTTTGAGGGCGAGATGAGAGTCTCTTTGTGCGTTCGTGTGTGTGAAACGTACGTTGGGATATCGTGCAATGTGTTTTGCGAGAAGGCCTTCCTTTCCAGGCAAATCGTCCCTGATTTTCTATTTCAATGATTCCCTGTCAGCCCCATTTTCACCTCTTCTCACTCACTCACTCATTCTCTATCCCCCCATTCTCAACGCTCATCAACATGCCAGATTTTTCTTACAAAAAGTGAAGTACACAGACAGGGATTCACATCTTTCTCAAAAAACACTCACAATCCAATACAGAAACTTGTTCCCCTCGCGGACTTTGCCCTTCCACTCCTCAATCAGGTCCTGGTCCCACGAGCACGCCACGCGCTGGGCAAAGAGGCGCGCGCAGTGGCTTTCGCTCTCGGGGTCGAAGGGGACGAGGGCGGCGGCGGAGTATTGTTTTGAGGGAACGCTTTCGCTTTCTTGGGGCGACATTTCTATAATCCTTTTGTGTTTTCTTTTTTTTTTTTCTTTTGTTGGTGAGGAATCGGTTGGTGATAATGGTATCAAGTACTATGGCTTTTTGTGTTTTCTGTATGTGTGTCTTGTCGTACGAAGAGTGGTTGCACGGAAATCAAGTCGGTTATAACAAGAAGCAAAAAGAAAGGTCTGGAGAGCTGGACTATCGGTGACACTCACACCCTCACTACCTATATCTTAGCTACCTATCCAAGGGCAACAACTGATGACTCTTCGGCCTAAGTACTAGCCAACTCGCGCCCAACTCCGATCCCCTCAGATCTCAATCCCGCATCGGACTCCATCAGCAGTAGGAACGGCTATGCTATATACTACTACTCCGAATTTCGGTAGACTATCCTTCCAGACTAAAGAATCCCCCGAGATTTGTCTTCTCTCTTTAGACCGATCGCCCGATTTCCCACCTTGGACTACTACATTACATGTTACGTGCGTTGCGCCCTTTTGATTACACGTACCTACCTATAGTACTGGTACTGGTATTCCCATACTCTTGATCCTCCTGAGCCATGCCCGGGTGTTGACCTGCCTAGACTTCTTTTAGAGAAGCCCCCAAATCCGCCATAAACAATCAGTAGAGAAACCAAGTTCACTATAAAAGAGAACCTAAATTGAATACTACGGAAGTAAAGTCCTTCTCTGTTCAAAGCGTCCGTTTCAAACACGTGGACTAGTTCTGGAGAGGCTACTGATGTTGTACTTCAAAGGGCTCTACTATTTGCAATCGATCAACTCGCTCTCCTCTCGACGGATAGATGATCTTTCGGCCTTTTGAGTCCTTTAATACCTACCTATTCCTAGAATTATGCACTTCCTATTGGACGGATACCAGTAACCGTACACCAAGCCATCGTGAACCCGTGTAAGCACCTCATATCTATAACCCCATACGATAGATACGCCAATACGCCGACATCTGATAGACAACCACAAACCAACTTATATGTTTGGTATTATTCCTACGTTCTTGGTCTACATCCTCCTGGTAAAATATATGTCTCTATCTACTGTAGTATTCGGATATTTGCATAGTCGCCGTCAGCCCTCCCCCGTACATCATCCCTGAATTCCTCCTCCAGAATTCCTCCAAATGCCCATTCATCAATCAACATGCCGTCGAATTATCGTCCCTTGCTTCAACGACTCTTTTCTTTGCCCTTCCTTGACTCCGCGCTCAAACTCCAGCTTCAGCTCCAGTCTCTTACAAACGTCTCCAATAACTGCATGCCTGGTGAACACGCCCATTCGCGCCCTCGTACTTTTATCGTCCTACTACTTCGTCGCCTCCCCACAAAGGCCGGATTCGTATCCATCGTGCCCATGCCCAGCCCCTCACTCATAATCTTCCCCATCCTGTCTTCGTCATGGTTGCTGTCATTGTTCTCATCTTCGCTCGATAATCGTCCACAGCCTACCTTCAACCGGCAAACTGGAACCTGGCCGCTTCGAGTTGTCCGAGGCCATCCCGAGGCGCAACGTTACGGCGCCGGTATGTGTTTGTAAAGTCCTGCAGCAGCACCCTCACATGGCGCATCCCCCCCGCCTCGTTCGCCGCCAGTCGCTCCTTGATCTTGGCCAGCAGCCTGTTTGCCTCTTCCGGGGATACGGTGCCCTGGGGCAGCAGCTGGATGGTGCGCGCGACCCATTCCGTCGTCTCCACGGGCAGAAGCTCAAACAGGCTCAGCAACACGCCGCTACCGTCTGCAAAGCAATCCCTCGGGAACGTAATCATCATGCCGGCCATGACTTGCTTCACCAAGTTCTCGCCGTGGCTCAGCAGGAGATTCTTCACAATGGTCCGGATTTCCGCCGCGGTTGCCTCTGGCAGCCCCTCACTGCTCGCCGGGTTGTCGCCACCATATGACAACAGATCCCTCAAGAAGTGGAGCGTGGAAGAGAGAGGATCCCGCTGCTCCAGCGTCAAGGCGTAGATGGAGGCCTCGAAGATGGGTGCCAGGAGCGGGGAAGGGATGAGCTTCTGAGGATAGTAGAGGAGCGCGTCGATGAGCAGCCTGAAGAAGTCGTCAATCACGTCTGGCAACTCCTTGGGCTGCAGCTCCGTCATGACCCTCAGGAACGTAGTCATCTGTGCCTCGAAGAACGTGTAAATGTTCTCAGTCGTCGCTGGGTCCACATGCTCCCGCGCCTCAGAGAACTCTCGCAGAATGGCAGATGTGACCCATAGGAAGCAGCCCTCCCTCGAGGCGTTGAAGCCGCTGGCCAGCTTGTTTGCCATCTCTGCCAGCAGAGGAGTGATGGCGGTGCGGTAAGAAATAACCATGTTTCTCCAGCACCTGCACACTCTCTCGCAGATGGGAGAAAAGGTGAGGAAGTTTTCCAGGACGGTAGACAGGATCGGGAAAACCTCCTGCCAGTACTTGACGGCGGGATTTTCCTCTCCAGGGTTGACGGGGGGCATCACATTCTGCACAAAGATGGTAATGAGCTGGAGATGATCTATGTGGACAGTCAGCAAAGCAGAGTCTCAACGGGGAAAGGGAAAAGAATGACGAGTATTCCTACCTGCTACGGCCAGTTTGCCCTCATCTGTGGTCGCGTGGTTTGCCTTGGTCATCAGCCTTTGGATCAGGGGATCGCAGTACGTCTTGAGCAGGCGATACGTCTCGGAAACGGGCTGCACGGCGAGGACGCTGGAAACACCCTCCGTAACCTCCTCCTTGCTGATGTCCGGCAGCTTATCCAGAACCTGGTCGTAAAAGGTCTGGAGCTGCAGCACCTGAGGCGAGAGAAGATGCTTGCAGTCAGTGCAGAAGAACTTGAGCGACAGGGCCGCCGCGCGGATGATTTCGCGGGAGTCGGACTGGAACGAGTTGACAATGTAGTTGAACTGAGGCTCCAGGTACTCGGGATGCGCCGCCGTCCATTCCGTGTAACGTCCGAGCACCATGATGGTCGCAAACTGCAGCTTCTCGTGGCTGGGCATCTGCACCAACAGGGGCATCAGCTGAGGGAGCACAATGTCCTCTTCCTTGTCCACCATGCGGCCAAGAGCGCGCATCGCGAACAGCGGAGCCTCGAGCTCCTGCCAATGCGGCACCGCGGTCTCGGTGACCTGGCTGGCGTACTTTTGCGTCCACACCTGGATGGCGTGGAGCACCTTGGTCAGGCACTCGGTCACGCCCATGACCTCGCAGCAGTCCTTGAGTGTGTCGCCCATCTGGTGTCGGAACTCGCGGAACTTTTCCTCCTGCTCGCGGTCTCCATCGAACAGGTCCGTCTCGCTCCCAGACTCCGGTCGCGGGTACTGCAGGTGTGAGAGCAGAATGTCGACAAGCTTGGAGAATACGTCCACCAGCTCCAGCCTGCCCTGGATGTATCGCTCCAGTACCAGATACTGCTTGAGCTCGTACCAAAAGTTAAACGTGTGCTCGATAACCTCCCTGTCCTTGTCGCGGGCGGCGCATTCGAGGACGGCATCGACCAGCGGCCGGAATTGGGTCGGCTGCCGCGCAATGGCAACCACCCAGCTCTCGGCCGCCGTTGCCAGGACCTTGGTGATGGACTTGAGTGACTCGGTATCCTCCTCCTCAACAAGGGTGGCGATGCGCGATCTCAGGCTGACGATTCGAGGGAACAGCGTCTGGATGATGGCTTGAGATTCGTCAATGTCGCCAGTCTCCCTCAGCATCGTGCTCAGACACTCTGCGGCCTCTTGGCTGCACCCGTCGGATGTCACTCCATGGAAAATGGCGTCCAGCAGCGGCGAGTTGGCAATGGCAGCGACGGGGACTTCGCGAAGCCACGAGGTGATGCATTCCATGAGGAGCGGGTTTTGGGACGCGGCAGCTGGAGAATTACATGTCAATTTCCCTCTCGAGTCATAGTCAGTTCCACGATAACAGGGACAAAGCACTTACGTGAAGACTGTGAGTAGTTGATGAGGAGCTGCACGACCTGGTCTGCGTTATCTGCCAGCAACACTTGCGTCCGCAATGCAAGGTCTTCTTCCTATTTCCAAATAATTAGATTTGTTCTTCGAGTTGATTACCGGCCGGCCGAGAAAGTATTCGCAGAGGGCCAGGTGCCGCGTCGTCTTCAGAGTTTCGCAATCCACGTACAGACAAGGTAATCTTTCGACCTTCAGTCACCTCTTCGGGAAGGACTCGTAGAAAGTCGAGAATGCAAGCATGGCTCTCGGGGCTGTCGCCAAGGGACTGGACAACCGAGTGCAGCACATCGTCCCAGCCCTTCATCTGGATCGCCAGAATGGCCAGACACACACACAGCTGGACTCGGATAGGTTTGGGGCCGGCGGCGTAGTGCTTCAGCAGGAGAAGAATCTGGTTCCGGAGAGCAGGCAGCTCGTTGGGAGGCACCTGCGTGATGAGGTCATAGGTGATCTGGTGTCGTTAGCAGGCCCGCGAGCAGAGACAAGGGGAAAAAAGAATGGACGTGTACAGAGGAGAGCGAAAACAAACCTTGCCGCGCAGTGTAATGGCCGCGAAAAGAGTCGCCTCGGGCTCGGCCTTGGACTGCAGGATCCCGATCACCGTCCCCCATGAGTCCTTCTATATAACCGAGGTGACGATTAGCAACCTTTGTACCAAACCCCGAGATCGTGTCGAGTAGAAGAACCAGGCGAACTTCCGACATACCGACTTCTGGAACCTCTGCAGGTATTCGTGCGCCTTCTTCTTTGCCTCCTGCTCCCCGCTCCGCATCGTCATTACGGCCCCAAGGACGTCTGTAGGCGCAAAGGCCTCCTGGGTGCCATTCGTGGCCATCTCGGGCGGTGCGACAGGGCGCGCAGCTGGGAGCTCAGGGTAGAAACGGTATCAGCGCGATTTCTGGGTATTCGAGGAGCGGGCAGCGCTCATGAGCCACCAGCCGGGGTGTGCTGCTGGCGGAGATTCAAAAGCCGGACGCAAGTCGTGAAGTGACGGATCACTCGTCGAGCGCACCGAGGCGGAAACAAGCGAGGAGGATCGCGAGGAGAAGCAAAAAGAACGGTGAAAGGAGGGTGAGCAGACAGCGAGAGAGGCCTGGAGCGTTTATCAGAACCGCGGGCTGAGGCTGGAATCCGGATGACTGGCTCCAGGCAAAATGATGGAAGTCGGCCTTGCCTTTGACGAAGTGGCATGGCTGCTCGCATTGGCGGGGCAAATCTGCTCGAGGAGCTCTGCCGCCGCCGCGGGTTTTTCCGCCTCCGACGACGGGGGATGTACTTGGCTGCGCTGCTACGGCAGTATGGGGCGCCTTTGTACCCTGCAAAAAGGCCTTTGATCTGCATGGAAAGGCACAGAACAAAGCGGACGGCTCATCAACAGTTGACCAAAGCCCTTTGATTCCTTGCAGTTTGGTTACTGGAGTGACTCTGATCGCTTGGGTGCATGTGTCGTCCAAATTGCCGCTGCCAATCGTGCTACCGGTGACTGAGAGCTGAAGGAGTAGTCAAGGCGCATTTGGCTTCGGTTTGAATAGCGGTTGCACACGTCTTGTTGCCGTATCCCACCAACTCCACCACCACTCACTCCATGGCATCAAGCTGTCCGTTGACAACGGGATCTAGGAACATTATTTCAAGAGCGGAGTGACACCTGAGAAGATCTCTATGTTCCACGTGTCATGATGCTTGATCAAGATTTCTTTCCACCAAATGTTGCCTTCTCGCACCTCGGCCAGACAAACGCTACCCTATCATCAACTTTGACTGAAGGAAGAATCATTTGATATTCTGTTCCTTCAACTCATAGCATATGGCAAAACTCCCTGCCATATGTCGTCCACTCCTCCACGTTCCTCGGCATGGGCCTGACGCCATCACTTACAAGCCGAAGCTCCACCGTCTCACATCTGAGGACCAGCCACTGAGACATCCGTTCTCTCAGCTCCTGCCAGTGGGCTGATCGTGCTCCTGGATATTCTGGGCATCAGCCGGCAAAGTCTTCTCCGCAAGCAACAATTACAACTTTGACTTTCTCGCCCAGGAATAATACAATCCTATAGTTGCCCTCCGGATACTCTGCCATCTGAACACACCCGAGAATGTATAAATGGTCATCATCGCTGACCTTCCCAGTGTCCTTCTGGATTTCAAGTGAATGATGAGGCTATATCACCGTCGTCTGGAATGAATTGCTTCAAAATCCTGAACAAAAGAAAAGGGACAAATGGTATCATGATTCGTTCACTTCTGCTTCGACGGCCTCAGCATCCGGCGAGAGCTTAATCTCCCCATTCCCCAATATCAGACCGTGCAACTTCCTATCAAACTGGCCCATGGGCACTGGCTCGTCCGCCATGGGATCGAGAAGCTGCTCCTTCAGCGCCAGCCCGTAGAACCGCAGCACGTGCTCCCCGCCAGCCTCATCATGCGGCTTCGTAGCAAGATACCTATTCAGGAAGAAGTCGTAAAACCCCTTGCCGTGACCAAGCCGCCTCACGCACCCCCTCTCGTCAGTGTCAAACGCCACGCCCGGCATGAGAATCAAGTCCAGCGTCGCCTGGTCCGACTTTTGCGCATCGGGACCACCGAGGATACGCTGTCTGAGGTGAACGGTGGCAGGGTCGATGCTCGGGATGCCCCATGAATCCCGCTGCAGGCCGTCGTAGTCGTGCACATCGCGGAGCTGCACCATGTCCATGATGCGGGCGGGCGTTCCGGGCTCGTCGAGCGGCGACTTGTGGAGGTAGGGGACGAAGACCTGCTTGCCGGAGGTGAGGGCGTGGCGGACGATGGCGTCGGTCTGGATCTCGGCGGCGGGCATGGAGAGGTAGATGCTGATGCGGCGGGCGTCCTGGTAGGGCTTGAAGGATTTGAGGGTTTCGAATATTGTGTTGCCTGTGTGGGGTGTGTGTGTCAGATTTGTAGGCTGGTGATGAAAACGATATTGGTGGTTGTCGTACTTTGAGCGAGGATGGATTCTTGGGAAACTTGGGAGAGACGCTGTTTGAGCAGGCGTCTGAGCTGCTGTTTTGCGGCAGCCACTGGAGAAGTCATAGTGAATTCCAATAGAGTCTGGAATTAACCAAAGCAGAAAAAGAGAGAACAAAGGAGTGTGTGAGGAGCTGCAAAGTGAGTGTGATGTTCAATTGATCAGTTGAGATGAGATGAAAGAACATGAAGGCATGAAATTTGATAGGATGAGAGTGAAGCCGAAGGCGGGGAGAAGTCGGATCGGAGGTCCGTGGTCCGGCGCCGGGCTTCGATCTTTAACGTTCAATGGACATGGAATTTGCATACATTCAGGCACAAAACATCAATAATGAGGACGCTCGGATCAGGCCATGGCAGCGATTTAGTTATGTGCGTCTGCAGCATGTTACACGGCATTTCTTGATAATCGGAAGAGCTGAGCGAGCTGAAGACTTTTTGTGTAACACGACGCCGGAAAGGTACGGAGTACCTGTACTGTGGCTGCACTGGTGTGAGGGTGGGCGAGGGGGTAGAGATACCTGTACCTTTCTGTCCAGCCTTGAATATCGAGTTTACGGGATACAACACCATGCGGTCGTACACGATATATTGATTGGTCCTTTTCACGTCTATTCGACTGATCTTTTCAGGTACAAGCCATTGTATACTGTTTGCTGAGATAGTGTCTCATCGTATTGATCGTGATGCTCTCGCCGCATTCGTCCAAAAGGGAGACAAAATCACACCACGTACCTTAAGGTAAGATCAGATCAAGAACAAGGGCGAGTGATCCAGCGACCGGGTCTCATCCTGTTGGTACCTCGCATAGATACCAGACAGATAGGTACCAGAGCTGCAGGCATCAAGATTGCAAATCAGGACGCGCCCATTGGACTATCGGCAGAGGATTTAATATGCATATAGATTGCCGGTGTGACTAACTTGCAGTGATGCTTGAAGGGATCCAGGGCTTCATGCCAGGGACTTTTGGCCGGATTCACTAGCCGGGATCCCGGTGACGCTGCGTGCAGATGGACGTGCCGGAGAGAGCATGGCGGATGGAGAGAAGAAAGCAATTGACTGCGTATGAAGTATACTAACTCCCAAGTCCAATTGAGCCCTGGCTATTCAATCTCATGCGTCATTCGAGTCTGACCGTCATCAGTGTGTCCGGTTCAAATAGTCGAGATCCATCCCAGCAGGGCTCAGCGCTCGGGTCGCACCAGCGGACAGTCGCCCAGTTCCAGCACCCGCATTAGCGCATCCTCCGCTATAACCCGCGCCAGCCTCACCACAAGTTTTCGGCCGCCCCCACCATCAACCCGCCCACCAACTTTTCAATCTCCAGCTCCATCAACATTTCGAGCCCACATGCGACTGGGCCTCGTCTTTTCGCATCCGCCCCGCCATGGGTCGAGCCGGTACATCCAGCAGTGACTCGACAACCTCCAGGGCTTCGTCGGCGGCCAGCGATTCCTTTCCGCCGCAGCATGGCGTTGCGCTGCAGACTCTGGCGCCAGCAGCAGAACAAGCAGTACAGATAGCATCACCACCGGCTTCAGCTTTGCCCGCTGTCTCAGCCTCTGTCTCGGCCTCGGGCTCAACCCCAGCGATCCGCGATCCACACCAGCACCGTTCCCGATCCTCTAGCATTACTTCATCTTCTGCCCTCTCCTCCTCCTCTTCGTCCCCCTCTCTTCCTCTCCCTCCCCTCTCGACCCAGCATGATCGCCCCGGCCTCGACGAGGCTGTAGCCCAGCCTGCTACGCATGCTGCCATGGCTCCCTCCGGCAAAGCCTCCTCCAGCAGGGCGACGAGAACGACGCCCTCGACTCCGACAGCAGCAGCAGCGCCGCCTCTGCTCCTCTTCGCCGATGGCCACCGAACCGACTCGTCGCCCTACGGGTCCACCACCATGACCCCGAACCGCAGTCCGTCCCCCGGCTCCCGCCCCGGCACCGGCCACGGCTCCGACTCCAGCGG